CCAGGCTGCCCTAGTACAGGTCAAGGGCAGGAGTTGCTCTACTCCATGAAATCACTTCCTCTAAGAGCTGCAGTGCATAAATTGAGGATTGTCCATCACCACCTGCAAATACCGCTCTATTTGCACTAGCAGACATCTGAAGTCACACTACTGATAGGACAGAGCCTGTGTGCCTCTGGCAGCCTTGAGTGCCTTGCATGGCACACATGCCATAGGTTGCTGACCCCGATCTATACACTAAAACTGTTTTATTAAAAAGGTTGCTTACCCCTGATCTATACACTAAAACTGCTTTCATAAGGAACTGGGTAATTCTCAATAGATTACTAGAACCATAACCACTATAACCTACTGTAGTAGTTATGGTGCTTAGATTCCCCTATTAAGCACCTTATTTCTGAAGATAAGAGAGCCGCCTCCCACTCACAATATTTCAGACTTGCAAGTCTGGCATACTTTAGGATCTCACATGAAACATCTGCTCGACTTTATTTGGGAAGACTAATAATTTAATAATATGAATCATCTATTATTGATATACAGTTTTCTCTGTACTTTGTGCCTGCTACCAGCTCAGCAGCTGAATGTAAACGAACGACTTTCACTAAATCCTCACATTCTATTTCACTGTGACTTATTATAAATTGATCCCTATTTTGTTCTTCCCATAAAGGGGGTATCAAAGAACGAACAACTCCCTCGTCCTGACCCATTATTCTTACCCTTGCAAATGTGTACGATACGGTCTTTCTCCACCACATCTGCAAAGGTTCAATGAACAATACAAAAAGAAAACTATCCAGCAAAATGTTCTTTCTTGAGAAACAAAAAACGATTTATAGTTCTAAACATTGTTCAGCTTGCAGTGTGGACCTTAGTCTGTTTTTGATCCTTCATGTAGTGAATACATATATATATGAGTGGGTAATGGTGGCCTTTTTTTTGTTTTCTATGTCTACATCTGCTAAAGGGATTAAGCATATACCTAATGGGTTGGTGTCTGATAAATCACCCTTATCTTTTCCATCACCCCATATACATTGGGATTGTCACTAATATAATAATCAGGTAGGAGCCTGGCTAGTAATCCATGACTCTTCCTCCCCCCTGTAGCCAATAGATTGGAACTTAATAAAGATTATGTAAAAGGAGTAGTAGTATCACCAAGTCCCTTGTATTAACCCTTGGACCCGAGAATCCTCCAATCCTACCAGATAGCGGGCAAATGAGTAAAAACCTCAGTCCTAGAGTTACAGTATCTCACAAAAATGAGTACACTCCTCACATTTTTTTTTTTTTAATTCTTTATTTAACATTTAGCAGTGACATACCAAGCTGACGCACATAGGAAACAATCTCTACTGAAACTAACATCGCTGTTATACACTGTGGAACACCAGGCACACACCCTTGTCCTAATCTCCTAACAATCCATCTAGTACCCAGTGCATTGCGCCTTGCGCCGAGTCTTCCAATTGAATGTGCGTCTGACTGGCTCTCCATCAGTCCCTTCCCATGTCAATGCCAATTTATATATAAAACAAAAGTAATAGGAACAGATAGAAAAGAATAGATTTGTCCCCATCCCCCAGTATTAATGGGTTTCGCTCACCCCTGCCCACTGGTCCTCCATCCCCATCCTTCCCCTCCGTCGACTTCCCCCAGTAGAAAAACTCCTCATTGGGCCAAGCCCCTTTAGCGGTCCTGCCCGCCTGCCTATATCTGCCCGGCAGATGGAGATATGGTAGCCGTTTCTTATCTACAGACTATTTACATTGCGTTCTAGAAATTTTTCTGTGTCCCTCCCAGAGGCTCAACGGGGCTACAGCAATTCCCATTACCTAACCAGTTTGCCCAGTGGACCTGTGGTGACTAAGCTATGTTTACGATGGAAACAGAAGAAGCAAAAGAAAAGTGGGGTGGAAAAAAGAGGGGAAATGAGTGGGTGGGCACGCAAGGCTCAACTCCTCTCCCTACACTCCCAAGAGGGAGCTCTCCCACGGCTCCCAGACTTTCTGAAAGGCCGGCAGGGTATCTCTTATTCTCGCAGTTAAATCATCCATAAAATGCACTTCCTTAATTCTAGTCAGAACTCCTTGGATCGTGGGGGCCGTCTGTTTCAGCCAATTTGCCGCTGCTTGAATGTATGGTTGCTTTGCGTAGGCTTTGATTTTCAGATAGCGGAAGACGTCCGCTGGGGTAAGATGGCCTAGTTGTCATAGGGTATCAAACGGGATGACCTCTTTGCCCTGAAATAGCTGGCAAATGCGTTGGAGCTCTACTCTCTAGGCTCCGGTAGTTCCTAGCTGCCATGCCCGGAGGAAATTCTCTATTGCGTAAGAATGGTATAAGGGGGGAGGGTGTTGAGGCCAAGCCATACTTGGATGCCGTGGTATCCCACAGCTGGATGGAGTTGAGAATAGCCGGACACGTGACTCCAATTTGGGGTCTATGTGCCTTGGGCACCCATATGAGGAGCTGCGGAAGGTCCGCCCCCACCATAAGAGACTCCAATTCCACCCATTTCCTCTCCCCTGGGGGTGAGTGCCACATTGCGACCTGTGCTAATTGGCTTGCTAGATAGTAGGAATATAAGCTAGGGAGGCCCAAGCCCCCCCTGTCTTTCGTCCTATATAAAATATATCTCGAGATCCTGTGCCGTTTAGAGTTCCAAATAAAAGTCCTGATTGATCTTTGCAGCGGAAGTAATTGCATCTTGGAAACGCGTAGGGGCAGAGTCTGAAAAAGAAAGAGAATCCTTGGCAATAGGTTCATTTTTACAGCATGGATTCGCCCTATCCAGGAGATCGGTCTATCCGACCATGTCTCAAGCTCCTTAATAAGCTTCTTAAGCAGTGGTGTGTAATTTTGGCTGTATAGCTGCTCTGGATGCGCCGTTAGGCATATCCCCCTACATTTAAACCATTGGTATTGCGTATGGTATCTACCTCGTCCCCATTGATGTTAATCGGCAGAGCACTGGATTTCACCATATTAGCCCTATATCCAGCTATCTGTCCGTACTCCTGCAGTACATTTTGAAGGGCCCTCAGTGAGCTCAGGGGGCTGGTGACCGTCAGGAGCACGTCATCCACATAGGCTGACACTAGAAACTCACTCCCTCCCGCTTTAACACCCTTAACATCTGGGTGTTTCCTCAACGCCTGGAGCAAGGGCTCCAGCGACAATACGAATAGTAAAGGGGAGAGAGGGCAGCCCTGCCTTGTGCCATTATGAAGCTTAAATGGCCGGAGCGGGGCACCCGTTATTTTGACCTGGGTATGTACATTAGCATACATAGCTTTTATTAACGTTAGTGATTGCTCAGGGAATCCTAAATGGGAAAGGAGCGTGAATAAATACGGCCATTGGACTCTATCAAATGCTTTTTCAGCATCGAGTGAGAGCAATAGTGTCGGGGTCTTAGTAGTTACCTGCTTCCAGATAAGGTCGATGTTTCTGCGGGTATTCTCAAAGAGTTGCCTACCGGTTATAAAGCCTACCTGGTCTGCGTCCACTAGCTCAGTCAGATACGGGTTAAGTCTAGTCGCCTGTATTTTCGCAAGTATCTTCATGTCGTGATTGATAAGGGATATGGGCCGGTAACACTCAGGGAGAAGCGGGTCCTTATCGGGTTTAGGTAATAAGATGATGGTAGCTAAGGACATGTCTTGGTTAGGCGTCCCCCCCCCTCTAAAGACATTAAATAGTTTCGTCAGGTGGGGCGTCAGTTCCTCTCTGAATGTATTATAAGAAGTCCCGTCATATCCATCTGGTCCAGGGGCCCTATTACCTTTCAATTCCGAGATAGCCCGGTCAACTTCTTCTGGTAGGATTTCCCCTGCCAACCTGGAGCTCGCCTCTTGTGATCGTTTAGGAAGCTCCAGATTGGAGAGGAATCTGTTCGTGAGCTCTATATCTGTCGCTATTTGCGAGGCCGTGCTCGAGGAGTGGTTATAAAGGGACTTGTAAAAGTCAGTGAATACGTCCGCAATCTCGACAGGTAAAGTATTGATGGAGCCGTCAGGGTGTCTTATCGAGGTGATATGACCGCGTCTCGGTCGTGGCTTAAGAACCCGTGCCAGTAGCGTGTCCATCTTGTTTGCCTTTTCATAAAAGGTGCGTTTGGACCAGGTCATTGCTTTAGCTGAGTCATCTAGTAGGAGGGAACGTATATCATGTCGTTTGGCTTCTAACTGTCGTAAGATCCCGTCGGCTGGCCTCTGTTGATGTTGCTGCTCCAGTCGCCTGAGTTCCGTCAACAGGGTATTTAGTTGCAAAAATTTGTGTTTCTTTCTGGCAGTCGCTAACTTGATTAGTGTACCCCGTATCACCGTTTTATGCGCCGCCCAAATCGTCTCCGGACGCACGTCCGGTGTGACGGTGGCAAAGTATTCTATTATATCTTTACGGATCTGCTCCACAGTGGCCTTGTCTCTCAACAGGGAAGCATTAAGTCTCCAGGACCAGGGTGATGCCACCCCCAGATTCCCCAGCGTGAGAGACACGTCCGCATGGTCGGACCATGTAATGGGCCCTATCTCCGCACTCTGGACTTAAGGTAAGCATTTGTCATTGACCAAAAACAAATCTATTCGGGAGCAAGTGCCGTGTGGAGCCAAGTAAAAGGAATAGTCTACAGTGCTCGGATGACGTGCCCTCAGGACGTCCACCAGCCCCACCTCCAGCAAAAACTTATGGAACACCCTATCTTGATGTCCCCGTCCCTGGGATCTGGGTTCCCCTCTGTGTGCGCTCCTATCCACTGCCGGGCACGGTACCGCGTTCAAATCCCCTCCTAAAATCAGCATGCCCTGAGGCAAATTCTGTAGTTTCCCCCGCAGCATCTCCCAAAACCCTGCCGCTAGCTGATTTGGAGGGTAAACAGTTATCAAATGTACCGTATGGGAATGCAGCGTGCCAGAAATAATAACATATCTCCAGTCCGGATCACAGTCTGCCGACACGATAGTCAATGGGCAGCTGTTCCGTATCAGGATCGCCACTCCGTTCTGTTTTCGGAATGCCCTTTCCTCATAAGCCACGGAATAAATACGGTCTCGCAGCCCAAACCTAACGCTTTTTGGCAAATGTGTTTCCTGAAGGAAGGCTACATCTGCTCTCAACCGCTTGAGTTCTCTAAAGAGTAGCCGCCTCTTCCGTGGCGCATTGAGCCCTTTGACGTTTAAGGTTGTTAGTTGTAATGTCATGGTCTCGTTTCTCTGACACCGCCGGCCCACAAGGCTGTACCCAGCCCCCCGGGCCCTCCACCCCTCCCCCCCAGGACAGACCAACACAGGAAGGGGAAAACAGTAGGAAGGTAGGAAAAAAGAAGAGAAAACAGAGTACCAAAGAAAGTATATACAGATACAAGTGCGCCAGGCTGGCCGAAGCCACGCCTGCCGCCAACGTCTACCCCTGCAATGGGGTGTATGACTCCTCATCCCCCTATATCGAAAAACTAGAAGAGATGTAGGAGATCAAAGGCCTTTAAACCCTACACGCCCGTATGCGACCTCACTCTGCCATTGTATGCCCCTGTCATAACCACCTCCATGAATAGATCCCACTCGGGATTGAAGAGTTGTCTGACTTTAGAACCCTAACTAATTTAGCACTGTGTTAACCGCCAGAGCCCCTTCCACGCGCCAGAGCTCCCCACCCCCCCACTGGCCCAAATGCCCACCTATCCTTAGTCTGGGAAGGGTAGAACAGGCCCAACTCCGGAGTAGAGAACGAGCTTCAGGGTCAGTGTGGTCCCCTCCTAGCTGTACCCCGCCTGAGGTCCCCCCAGTTATCAAGGACAGAGGGAACCGGCTTGGCACATGCTTCCTGTGACCTCAATCCGGTTTCGCTCTATTATCGCCTATGTAATGTGTTGCCGTTCTCGGGAGACCCGGCCCCCCTCCCCCTGCCCCCGTCCCCCTGCGGAAGCCTATCGGAGTAGAATGGATATCAGGGTCCCCCCTGTCTACTCTACCGCTCCCCTCCAGCCTCCTTCCCTGTATCCATCCCCTCAGCCAACTCGAGGGACCCCTCACATTTTTGTAAATATTTTATATCTTTTCATGTGACAGTACTGAAGAAATGACACTCTGCTACAATGTAAAGTAGTAAGTGTACAGCCTGTGTAACAGTGTAAATTTGCTGTCCCCTCAAAATAACTCAACACACAGCCATTAATGTCTAAACCGTTGGCAACAAAAGTGAGTACACCCCAGGGCCGGGCTGGGAAAAAAATATGGCCCAGGCATTTATTAACCACAGCAGCTGACTAAAAATGGGGCGGGGCAGAGAGGGTGCATTTCGTCATCACCAATGACAAGCTCTCAAAGTGAGCATGTTGGTTCAATGCTCTTCCAGGGCCGTTCATGTGCAGAGCTCTGCTGAAGAGCTCTAGCATGAGAAAAAAGGCCCTGCATTTGTTTTGCACAGTGAAAGCAAATTTAATAATATGCTTGCGATGTGTTTCAACTTGTTTCTAGTGTCTCTATAAATGGTATACCAGGAGACAAAAGGGCCAGGAAAGAGTATTGTGCATGTGTTTGGAGCCTGCTTGTGGGATTGCGTGTATGTAGAGTGACCTGATTGTGGTCTGGTATTGTATAATAAGGTTGGTTTTAGTTGTGTTTGTGGTGTAATGTATTGCATGTGTGGCTAGGTGCTGTACAGTGTGTGTATAGGGGACGTAGAAATTGTGTGCATAAGAGCTATAGTGTGTGGGTGTGAGGGCAATGTGTGTGTGAGGGTGCGATGTGGGTGATGTGTCATGTTCCTGAACAGGTTAGAGAGGAGACGATTGCCAGGGTTATTGGTTGAAACTTTATTTGTCTTTTTAGACATAATTCACTTGAAAGAAAGAATTAAGGCAATATGCCCCAAAAAGGATACTTTGAAAATTAAAACAGAATAAAGGCAATTTGCCACAAACAGGATACTTTGAGAGTAAAACAGAATAAAGGCAATATGCCACAAACAGGATACTTTGAGAGTAAAACAGAATAAAGGCAATATGCCACAAACAGGATATCTTGAAAATAAATAGATAAAGTCTTTTATATACAAGTAGGTTTGACGTTATTTCCAAGTAGATTAGTAATTTGTGGAATGTCAGACTGGAGCCAGGTTCAGGATGATACAGGATTGAAATGGTTACAGCTGGTAAGTACTTTAAGTATAATATAGTACAGGTTGCTTAAAGGATATTAAAGGATAATGCAGAGTTGCAGGAGTTGAGACAGGTAAGTAGATTCCAGTATAATGTAATACAGGTTGCTTACAGGATCATGCAGTGTTGCAGCAGTTGAAACTGGTAAGTAGATTCCAGAATAATGTAATATAGGTTGCTTACAGGAGTTGAAGATAAGAGTTTCAGGAGGATTCCGGAGATGGGACACACAGAGTCTCAGTAGAGGATCAGGATGTTTTCAGGAGCCAAAGGCGAGAAACAGGTACTGCAGCAATAAAATAAATCAATTTCTTGGATGTCAGGATAGGGTCCTGACATGTGTGTGAGCGTGCTGTTTGTGTGTGTAAATGTTAGGAAGGGGATTGTGTGGTGGGGGGAGGCAGATTAATGCCTATATAAGAATTCATTTATTTTATATTCTTTATTTTTGTTGTGCACTTATTAACAGTTATTTACAATATGCCACAACGGAGGTGTCAGGACATATGAGGTATCAACAAACAATGTACCATGTGACATTTGAGGGTTCTGCACAGGTTTTTACGTTTTTCTGAAGAAACATACATCGGGTATGTAACATTCTTATCTAAACGCTGCTCTCTAAGTTCTGTGTCTAACTGAGAACTAAATTAGTTGAAGTTTTATGATGATATGGCTAGTTTGAGCTGTGTCTTGTGGTACTTTGTCTAATAGACTATGGGTTCAATGCAGGTGATAGCTGTAGTCTACTAGCTTTTAAGTTATTACGGTTTCTGTATAATACAGGGTCTCCCCCGTGGAAGCGCTCCTGTATCTCGCGCCCACCTAGTGACCTGTGGAGTAGGTTGGCTAGTGACGAGTGTAAGGCTGTTACTCGTCTGTGGAGTCATGAGGGTGGGAATACGCTGGGTGAGACGGTCTACTACGTTATCCTATGTGTGGGGAAGGTTAGTCAGAGGTAAGTAGGTAAGTATGTGTGCTATGTGCCCCTCGTGTTGTTGCTCTTAGGTGAGCTGGTTATCTGCCCTACTGCACTGCTGAGTCTATCGGCCTGTGAAGTGCGCCCGGTGGTAGTGGCGTGTTGAGTGCAGTGAGAAATATCCTGTATGTTCTAGAGTGGGTGCATATAAAGAAGATGAAGATAGCCACCTATTGTTATAAAAAGAAAAAATACTGACATCTGTTGCCTATTCTTAGATGGTGTGGGTGTAGTGCTGTCTTTCCTGTCATCTTGCGGTTAGTATGAGTAATGTGTGTGACTCTACACATAAGTGTTGCGCAGTTACAAAATGTTATGTTACGCAAAGAAGAGAAACAAAGGATAAAAACAAGGTAGTATAAAAGTAAACTTATACTAGAGAAGTGGGGAGAGCTCCACAGGAGTCTGAAACACTCTCTCTTCTCCGGTTAGATTGTGCGTTGTTCAGGTTGTAGCCAAGACATAAGACTCCGGCATGGATTTTTGCGGGACGAACTCAGAGGCTCCTGCCGGATTCCACTGGTGTCTCAGTCTAGGGGTAGCATCCCGAACCTGGTGGTTCTGCAGGTCAGCTGGGAGTCCCATTTTCTGTAGGATCAAGTCACATTCGTCTGGCTCCTGAATCGTGTACTGTAACGGATCACCTGGCACCCTGACTGGGTACCTCCGTTGAAGGATGCTCCTAGTGCTTCCTGAGGGCTCCAAGCACTCCAGCCAACACCATAACCACCATAGACTCCTTCCGAGAGCAAGACAGGAACAAGCTCTTAAAAGAGCTTAGAACTGATTATCCAAGGGAGTATGCAGAGCATAGCAATCCCTTGTAGTGATATAGCAATTCCCCCAATAAGAGACAGGACTCTAGATTGAGGGTGAAGAAGAACTGAAGCTTTTAATCTAACACTGTGCTTTTATGCCCATTTTACAAACATAGTACTGCCCACAAGGTTTTGAAGAACAACCAATCAATACATTACAACACAGCTAAACACTCCCAGTCATACCAGCAGAAATCCTCCCCTCTGCCTGTGATACAATTATCTGAACACAATAGACTAACTTAATTATCACAGGCAGAAAATATACAGTTTTACACAATATTAATAACTTTCAAAATATAAAACATACATTTTCAGAATCAGCATACTCCATATACAAACATACTCAAAAATCATACAATTCCCTCCAGTGGTTTAAAAGTTAGGTGTGGTAACAGGGCATATCTCCATTTACAACAGTAAAATAGTAAAATAACCTAAAAATACATAATTCACATTATATTGAACAGAACCCCCACATTCAACCTATGCCCAGATAGCTTGGATCTGAGCGCTGTTCGGATATAGTGAGCGCTCAGTCATGGGGTTAAACCATAGAAAGGGCTGATGAGAGACAGAGGAGGGGCAAAACAGCAAGTTCCAACTGGTCTGGCAGTATTCCTGGGCCAATGCCCTGCTGGAGAACAATAAACAGGAAACGGGGGAGGGGCACAGCTTCCCATGTATTCAAAGGGGCAGAAAAAGTGTTTCAAAATCCAATAAGCCCAAATATAGTTCTTAAAAGACAATACATCCCAGGGCCATAGTCGCAGGGCAGGAGGCTGGCAAACAGACCCCTCCAAAAACCAGTGGCGAGGTCACTTTCGCCACATATAAGTGGTCTCTCCGTGGAAGACTGTGATGGCTCTGGATGGGCGCCATTGGTAGTGGATGCTGTGCTGCCGAATAAGAGTGGTGTCTCCACACTAGTGTACTGCCCGACAAGTCCGAGAAGAAGTTTAAGTCCATCTCCTCAAACTGGTAAGATTGCCGCCCCCTGTCATCACTTCTACCTTATCCTTGATGTTTTGAAATTGGACCAACAGCTCTCTCGGGGCTGTGTCTGGTGCTTTGGCAGGTTGAGGCACTCTGAACATGCCGGTGATTATCGTTGATTTGGTGCCCTTCGGTGTCAGCAGGGCCATCATAAGACGCCTAATAAAGTGTGGCACCTCAGCCTCCACCACTGTTCCCAAGACACCCCTTATCTTTGTTGTTTTTCCTCTTGGCATCTTCATGGGCAGCGAGGCGGTGCTC